AAAGCATGAGGATCACACCAAGATGGAGAAGGTTCAGCCCCTGAAGGACTAATCAAGACTTTGACTGCATATCCTCACCTCATGGCAGGATACAGCTACAGTCTACCTGCACATCCTGCCCTCATAGTACGACTCATCCACTCTTCTTGTATATCCTCACCTCATAGTAGGACCCATCCACTCTACCCGCACATCCTAACCTCATAGTAGGACCCATCCACTCTCTACCCGCACATCCTAACTTCATAGTAGGACCCATCCACTCTACCCGCACATCCTCACCTCATAGTAGGACTCTTCCACTCTACCCACACAGCCTTACCTCATAGTAGGACTCATCTACACTCTTCCTGCACATCCACACCTCATAGTAGGACCTATCCACTCTACCCGCACATCCTAACCTCATAGTAGGACCCATCCACTCTACCCGCACATCCTCGCCTCACAGTAGGACTCATCTACACTCTACCCGCACATCCTCACCTCATAGTAGGACTCTTCCACTCTACCCACACAGCCTCACCTCATAGTAGGACTCATCTACACTCTTCCTGCACATCCACACCTCATAGTAGGACTCATCTACACTCTACCTGCACATCCTCACCTCATGGTAGGACTCATCCACTCTACCTGCACATCCTCCCCTCATAGTAGAAACTCATCCACTCTACCTGCACATCCACACCTCATAGTAGAACTCATCCACTCTACCCGCACATCCACACCTCATGGTAGGACTCATCTACACTCTGCCCGCACATCCTCCCCTCATAGTAGGACTCTTCCACTCTACCCACACAGCCTCACCTCATAGTAGGACTCATCTACACTCTTCCTGCACATCTTCCCCTCCTAGTAGGACTCATCTACTCCTGCACATCCTCCCCTCATGGTAGGACTCATCCACTCTTCCCACACATCCTCCCCTCATAATAGGACTCATCCACTTTTGCCACACATCCTCCAATCATATAGTAGGACTCATCCACTCTTCCCACACATCCTCCCCTCATAGTAGGACCCATCCACTCTTCCCGCACATCCTCCTCTCATAGTAGGATTCATCCACTCTTCCCACACATCCTCTTATAATAGGACTCATCCACTCTTCCCACACATCCTCTTATAATAGGACTCATCCACTCTTCCCGCACATCCTCCCCTCATAGTAGGACCCATCCACTCTTCCCGCACATCCTCCTCTCATAGTAGGACTCATCCACTCTTCCCGCACATCCTCCCCTCATGGAATCTTGTAACTGATCAGACTCCCTCTTCATTCTTAGATCATGTTATAAACAGTGGAGTCGATGAAAGAACTTATCTCAATGGAGGAGAGGACAGGAACGGGCATGTCGCCATTGGATCATGTTTTTTCTGACCCAGAGACCCAAAGTTGTTAAGCCCCACATTTCCAGAAGTTCAGCAACAGGAAGATGACGTGGCAGCCTCGCAGTGAAAATTTCTACAGAATCCAGCAATCTGCACAACGTGGGACTTCATTACAGGTAAGTGAGGGAGCTAAAGATTTAGAGAAAAACACGTTTTTTAGCTAAACTTCAGCTTTACCATGGTGATATCCATAAATGTACAATGTCACCCAACATTACAGCCAGCATTGTCAGCTAACAGAGAATTTCCCCGTATTGCGACATTAATCCATCTATAATTTTCATAACAGTAGATGACCACACCCCCTGGTCAATGTCCAACCAACAGCCACCAGAGCAGTCACAGAATCTTCACCGAAGCTGGAAGAATGGACAATTCCTTCAGTGTCTTTAACAAACCAAAGGTAAGCAGCAGATGGATTACCTGAGCCTGAAACGAGGAAACTTTCACTTTGTGCTTCTTTTCCAGTCCAAACCTTTCGTCACCGGTCACACCGCTGCGATTTAAAGTCACGCGACTTTATTGCTATTGTGAAGTTTTTTAACATTTTCTTGTAATTTGCAGTGCAATTTCCATTGTATTCTATGTACGTGAAATCGCAACAAAACTGCAGAAAAAGTCATGTAAGAACTACTTTAGAAATCTGCTGCAGCAAATTGCAAATGTTAAGACTCTGACATTCACGTTCATTAGATGCGATTTAAGGTGCGATTGCAATCCGCCAACTGCGCCAGTATGACTGGGAACGTAAAGTAGAATACATACAATATATTGCGGTGAATCTGACAATCATGCAAGAGAATCTTCCAGGACCATATGTTTAAAATGTCAGTGATTGATTCTTCACTAGACAATGGTGACAATCACATTTACTGCTTTATAAATAGGCCTAGTTAATGTGCAGGATTGTAGTCCACACACACTGGTGTGGTAAAAAAACGCAGTGCAGAAACGCATCAAATGCGACCTGCATAGGTGTGAACCCAGTGGTGTATTTAGGTTTTGTGCTGCCCTAGGCCCACCACGGAGAGACCCTGACACCGACCAACACCCTCCTTCCCCCATGAAGAGAGCCTGACATTGACCAACAACACCACAGCCCCCCCTACCCTACCCCATCCAAGAGAATCTTCTACTACCACCACCCCCCCATACACTGGCCACCCCCCTCCCCCCCACCCCAGCGAGAAGGAGACTCTCACCTTCACAGTTCCAGAGATCCCCGGGAACAAGAGTTGGGCTCTGCATACACCATCAAGCAGCCCGCAATCTCTCTCGGATTCCACCTGGTCCCCATGCTGCATGTGTCCCCTGAAAAATGCCACTGCCCCTCTGAAAAATGCCACCCTAGGCAAATGCCTTGTTTGCCTTGTGGTAAATATGTCCCTGTGTGAACCTCAGTATACGAGATGAGGTCAGCATGCAGGAATCTGTCCAGTTATGAGAAGACATTGTTCCCCAATCTTTCACTTCTAACATTAGTGCCGGTTCACTGGATGAGGCTTGTGGGGTGCCACCTAAAGGGAATGCAAAGGGCCTCTCTGCTGGGGAGCTGTCAAGTGTAACAGCTCAATGCCATTAGAATGGGCACCAACATTAGAGATTTCCCATGAGCTTAAACCAATCAGCTTCATTTTGTATGAAAACCCACACAGCCATGGCATTGACATTTACAGAAGCTGTTAAATTATGTGAGCCCTCATCTTGTAAAACAACCCATTCAGTTTAAAATGGAAATGAAAGGTAAAATATTTGTGGACAGATATAAAGACATTATAAACACTTTTTTTCCCCTTTATATATGTCATCACATACCACTGTTCTCAGCTCTATAAGGAGCTCAGAGAGCAATTGCAGCACATTGGTCTTCCCAGTGAATGGCTATGCTGGGGGTTGGTGACAAGACAAGTCTGAGCCTTCGAGGAGAGCTGGCTGAGTTCTCAGTGTGTATGTGCATGAGAGCCGCAGCTATCCCAGGTCTCTCTCTCCTCATTAGCTCACACAGCAGCAGGAGCCATTGGTTCTTGCTGCTGTCAATCACGGAGAGTGAGACAATGAGAAGAAAGTTGGGGGTAGGGTAAAACCACGCCAACATGTTTCGCCACCAATCAGCATTGTCATGCTGACGATGCTGATTGGTGGCGAAACATGTTGGGAGGGGCCTAGCCGGTGACATCGCATGCATCCTGTGATTGATATGTGCTCTGATTTTTTTCCATTTTGTGATTATATGTCTGTTTTTTAATCCTAAAAGATTCATTTTTTTCTATATAAATCACAATCGGGGCCAAGCTGAGGCAGAAGAGGCGCCTCCTTGGGGCAGAGAGAGACTACAGCCAGACATAATCAGTAGACGGGGTCTCTTTTTTTAGATTTTTTGGAAATAATAACCATGGCATCCTTTTATTTCTTCTATAGGTGGAGCTTCATATCCACCTGGATGGCAGCATAAGACCTGAAACAGTTTTGTACTTTGCCAGGTAAGTGTCCCCTGTGCTGGGAGAGTTTTATCCCTGGCTGTATATTCCCCTACCCAGGATCTCAAGAACAAATATCCAACATTCATTATTTTCACCAACATCGGGAATATTTCAGAAACCTGAAAAATGCAAAAATACATATTTACAACTCACTTCTGCGGGGCGATAATTCTGTGGGTGGATTAATATTGAAGTGTTACTAAACCCACAACAGTACAATCAGTCTGTAGATGCAATAAAGCATGCTTGTTATACTCACTGTGGAAACTAAGGGATTAATCCTCTGCATTGTGTAAAAATACTGTTTGATCCTGTCTTCTCTGATTCTCCCCTTCTTTCAGTGCCCCCCTCTTATCTTCTGATAAGGCATATGGTGTGGAGTCACTCTGCACATGCTCAGTTTCGTGTGTATTGCTAGAGAGGTTTTTTTTTTTTTCTTGGGAGAGTGCATGTGTGATCAGCACAGGGCCAATCAGCACTGTCCTGAAAGAGGGTCAGGGGTTATGCAGCCTCATAGGACAGTCAGTGAGAATGAAAACTCCTCCTACAAGCTTTAACCATTGCTCTTCTGGACACTGATAGAAGTCACAAGACTGCTCTAACTGCTGATGAGAAAAGGTATTTAGCAGTTTATATTTACTAAAATAATTGCATTTCCATGTTGTGTGTACAGTGGGAGACTGGATATAGTGAGTGCAGGGTCCGGGGAGACCAGATATAGTGAATGCAGGGTCCAGGAAGAGCGGATATAGTGAATGCAGGGTCCGGGGAGACCAGACATAGTGAATGCAGGGTCCTTGGAGACCGGATATAATGAATGCAGGGTCCTGGGAGACCGGATATAGTGAATGCAGGGTCCGGGGAGACCAGATATAGTGAATGCAGGGTCTGTGAAGACCAGATATAGTGAATGCAGGGTCCGGGGAGACTGGATATAGTGAATGCAGGGTCCGGGGAGACCGGATATAATGAATGCAGGGTCCTGGGAGACCGGATATAGTGAGTGCACGGTCTGGGGAGACCAGATATAGTGAATGCAGGGTCCGGGGAGACCAGATACAGTGAATGCAGGGTCCGGGGAGACCAGATACAGTGAATGCAGGATCTTGGGAGACCAGATACAGTGAATGCAGGGTTCAGGGAGACCAGATATAGTGAATGCAGGGTCCGGGGAGACCAGATATAGTGAATGCAGGGTCCGGGAGACCAGATATAGTGAATGCAGGGTCCAGGGAGACCAGAAATAGTGAATGAAGGGTCCGGGGAGACCGGATATAGTGAATGCAGGGTCCGGGTCAGGGGCGGACTGACCATTTGGAAACTCGGGCACAGTAGGGGGCCCCATGAGATGCTCCTGGTACCTTTTTCATAGGCTTTTTTGAGTTTGGGCAAGGACACAGGGGCCCCATGATCCCCTATTGCCCGGGGGCCCCATGAGTTGTCAGTCCGCCACTGGTCCGGGTAGACCAGATATAGTGAATGCAGGGTCCGGGGAGACCGGATATAGTGAATGCAGAGTCCGGAGAGACTGGATATAGTGAATGCAGGGTCCGGGAAGACCTGATATAGTGAATGCAGGGTCCGGGGAGACCAGATATAGTGAATGCAGGGTCCGGGGAGACCAGATAAAGTGAATGCAGGGTCCGGGGAGACCGGATATACTGAATGCAGGGTCCGGGGAGACCAGATATAGTGAATGCAGGGTCCTGGGTTTAGTAACACTTTAAGGTTAGGCTGAGTTTTCCCTGAACCTCTAGACTCCATAAACTGAGCCTTAATTATGATAATTTCTCAGGATCACACTGATTAACACACCATTTTGCAATAACCTCAAACATTGGTCTCCACACTGACTGGGTTGAGGGGGGGCAGAGGCATGGGGAAATCACCTAAGCTATCACACAACTTTTCACAAGACTGTATGTGACATTTGCATCTACCAGTATATGGTCAGCCAGCTAGATTTTGGGTGAGTCTTCTGTGGTCTGGTGTCTTCTGGAGTCTGGTGGTGTTTGGCAGTAAGTGACAGTGAGTGGATGTTTGCACTGACTCTATACACTGATCAGCCATAACATTGACCACCCAAAATAACCTCCACTAGACCTCTGAAGGTACGCTGTGGTATCTGGCACCGAGCCGTCAGTAGCAGATCCTTTAAGTCCTGTAAGTTACCAGGTCGGGGTCTCGAAAGATTGGACTTGTTTTTCCAGCATATCCCATAGATGCTTAATTGGATTACGATATTGAGAATTTGCAAGCCAAGTCAATACCTCAAACTTGTTGCTGTGTTCCTCAAAACATTCTTGAATTCATCAGACCAGGGAACCTTCTGCCATTGCTCCATGATCCAGTTCTGATGCTCACATGCCCAATGAAGGTGCTTTTGGCTGTGGACACAGGTCAGCATGGACACCCTGACCAGTCTGTGCATATACAGCCCCATACACCACAAACTGCAATGCATGCCTTTCTTGACTTCTTCAGCAATATGAACTCCAATAGCTCTTCTTTTGGATACAGCTAAACAGGCCAGCCTTCGCTCCCCACGTGCATCAGTGAGCCTTGGCTGCCCATGACACTGCTGCCAGTTTACCAGTGTTCCTTCCATGGACCACTTTTGGTCAGTGCTGCCCATATGGAAGAAAAATACATTTAAAACATATCCCAAATATATTGAGATATTTTTGAAATACCACAATTTTGGCCATATTCAATATATTTCAAAATATATTTTAATAAATATATATATATATATATATATATATATATATATATATATATATATATACTTCATGTTGCAATACATTTTTATTACAAAATATATAAAAAAAAATTTATTAAAATCACATTTCAAATATACTGTATGTCTTTAAAAATTTGAATCTACATTTTTGGAATGCAGTTACAGATATTTGTAAAATATGTTAAAATTACTTTTTTATATGTTAAAAAAAATCTGATGAATATATTTAAAAAAATATATATTCTTCAGATTTTTTTTTAACATATAAAAAAGTCATATTAACATATATTTGTAAATGCGTTCCGAAAATGTAGAGTTGTATTTTTAAAAACATACAGTATATTTGAAATGTATTTTTAAAAATATTTTTTATATATTTTGTAATAAAAACGCATTTCAACATGCAGTATATATATATATATATATATATATATATATATATATATATATATATATATATATATTGAATATGGCCAGAATTGTAGTATTTCAAATATATGTCAATATATTTGGGAAGAATATTTTTAAAATATATTTCAAATATATTTTTCTTCCATGTGGGTGACCACTGCAGACTGGGGACATCCCACAAGACCCAGCCCCTAGACATTACAATTTGGCACTTGTCGCTCAGATCCTTACACTTACCCATTTTTTCTGTTTTCAACACATCAACTTCAGGGATAACATGTTCACTTGCTGCCTAATTTATCTCATCCACTTTCAGGTTTCATTGTCATAAGATAACCAATATTATTTACTTTATCTGTCAATGGTCATAATGTTATTGCTGATCGGTGTAAGTGCCGTTAGAAGATTTCCTGATACAGCACTAGTATCTATTGTAACGGAACCGGACACAGACCACACTTGGGTATTTCCGTTAGACTCTCGCTTCCCTGTCCGAACACCATCCACGCACCCCCACCGTTGATCATACAGGAAATAGACAGCACCAGACTCTTCTTAAGACAGGAAGTCAACTGCTTTTTATTTTAACACAAACACAAAATATATACACAGGGTGGGGAAATACAACCAGGAACAGGAAACACATCAGCAGGCCCTCCCATCAGGGGGAAGGGCTGCTGGAAACACCCCCCACCAAACCAAGACACAGAACAATGGGATGCAGCCGCATGGCAGAGAACAGTGACCAACCCCCACACCAATACACAAACATTCCATCCCATAATAGTTTGCTAGAATAATGGGATGCAGCCGCATGGCAGAGAACAGTAAACAACCCCCACACCAATATTAGAACATTTCACCCTGTCCCCTAACAGGCACAGGGTGACTTAAACATAAGAGGGGTTTGGGAAGATGATACAGGGGTCCCCCCACCCCCAAAAAGTCACTCTCGTCACATCTATATATACTATAAACTTAATCATGCGCAAAACATAAAATGTGCAAAACAGAGCCATAAATAAATGAACTAGACACTTTTATTTAATGATACTCCTTAATGGTTTAATTGCACATAGAGTGGAATTTGCACTTTATAATCTTTATTATTAGAGATTAATTTGACACAAATAGCACTGTGTATGACATAGTTGACAAGGAAGTATTGTTTCATATCTCACCTTAACAATGGTCTGCGGATATTACACAAATGTATAGATAGATGAATGTAACTTAGAGCTGTATTTTGCACATTATATTTTGCACATGATTATACATTATATAGTATATAGATACTAGCGCAGTATCAAAAAATCTTATGTACGTACTTTGACTCAGGGGTGTACCTACAGGGGTCCCAATTGCCTTTGCAGCCCCCCTGTATGCCAGGATAGGAGGAGCAGCGAGGTGGCTGCATACAGACAAACTGATCTCTCCATGTTCCTCTTGCAAGCTGCTGAATGCCTGCTTCTCTTCCTCTCCCTCCCTGCCATGGGCATTCAGCGACTGCAGGAGGAAAATTGAGAGATTGGTTCCTCTATATGCAGCCACCCCCTCCTATCCAGCTTCTCTCTGCTGCCCCCCATGCTCTCCGGTCCCTGTGTTCCTCAGCCCCCCTGCCCTCTGACCCTCCATTCTTTCCGGCCCCTCTTCCTCCTGCAACTGCGGGTATTCAGCGGCTGCAGGTGGAACATAGAGAGATTGGTTCTTCTGTATGCAGTTGCCCCCCCGCTCCTCCTGTCCAGCCTCGCTCTGCTGCCCCCTGTACTGTCCAGCCCCTGTGTTCGTCAGCCCCCCTGCTCTCCAACCCTCCGTCCTCTCCGGCCCCTCTTCCTCCTGCAGCCATGGGCATTCAGCGGCTGCAGGAGGAACATTGAGAGATTGGTTGCTCTATGCTCTATATGCAGCCGCCCCCACTGCTCCTCCTATCCAACTTCTCTCTGCTGCCCCCCGTGCTCTCCAGCGTCCCGTGTTCCTCAGCCCCCCTGCTCTCCGACCTCCGTTCTCTCCGGCCCCTCTTCCTCCTGCAACCACGGGCATTCAGCTGCTGCAGGAGGAACATAGAGAGAATGGTTCTTCTGCATGCAGCTTCCCCTGACGCTCCTCCTATCCAGCTTCCCTCTGCTGCCCTCCTGTGCTCACCGGCTCCAGTGTTTATGACCCCCCTGCTCTCCAACCCCCATTTTCTCTGGCTCCTGTGCTCCCTGGCCCCTATGCTGTCTGCCCAGGGGTGGACTGACAACTCAGGGGGCCCCCGGGCAATAGGGGATCATGGGGCCCCTGTGTCCTTGCCCAAACTCAAAAAAGCCTATGAAAAAGGTACCAGGGGCATCTCATGGGGCCCCCTACTGACCCCGGGCCGTGCCCGAGTTTCCAAATGGTCAGTCCGCCCTGTGTCTGCCCACATACTCCTTGGCCCCCTGTGCTCTCAGGACTCCCACCCCCGTGCTCTTTCCCACCCCCCCCCTCCCATGCAGCTTTGCTGGATTCCCCCTCACCTCTCCCACCAGCTGCTGTGGGGGATCTGGAGAGCAGAGAGGGGACCGGTAAATGTTTGCTGGTGGTCTCCTCTGCCCCTCTGTGCTGGTGGTCAGTGGCGGAAGCCACTGACAAAAGATATTCATGTATGAGTTGTTTTTTCAAAACTATAACCCCAGTATTCAGGTTTCATTTCAATGTTGGAACTTTGTGATAAATAATTGGATTTTGGGTTGCAGTTGGGGCACGCGGGCCCTGAAAGGTTCTCCGTCACTTCATTGGGGTGTATCAGGTAGAAGCAGCGGGTGCACAGATGTTACAGAGAATTTCACCGTTTCCTGTTTTTATTATCAGAAAGAAGCAGATGCACTCAGTGAACTTCGAGAACCTGGAAATCTTTCAGAAAAGCGTGGTGTGTTCTTCCCCCGGGAGCCTCACAGAGTTCCTGTCAAAGTTTCACATCTATATGCCGGCCGTGGTGTAAGCAGCCCTTCAACCTTCCTGATCTCTGTGGGTGGCAGAGTTTTTTCTCATATCCAAGCTGAAATCCAGTGTTTGTTGCTTTCAGTTCTATCACTTCTGTTATTCCTTGTCATAATGAAAAGAGATAGATCTAATGTTCGCCATACACTGTCCATTCTGATTATACAATCTCCTATACATTTACCAAGACTATGTAATATGAGGACAGTCTTAAAGTGTTTCTAAACCCACAACAGTACAATCGGTCTGTATATGCAGCAAAGCATGCTGGTTATACTCACTGTGGAACCTAAGGAGTTAATCCTCTGCATTGTGTAAAAACGCTGTTTGATCCTGTCTTCTCTGATCCTCCCCTTCTTCCAGTGTCTCCCTCTTATCTCCTGATAAATCATATCATGTGGGTCCGGGGAGAACGTATATAGTGAATGCAGGGTCCGGGGAGACCAGATATAATGAATGCAGGGTCCGGGAAGACCAGATATAGTGAATGCAGGGTCCGGGGAAACCTGATATAGTGAATGCAGGGTCCTGGGAGACCAGATATAGTGAATGCAGGGTCCAATGAGACTGGATATAGTGAATGCAGGGTCTGGGGAGACCGGATATAGTGAATGCTGGGTTTGGGAAGACCAGATATAGTGAATGCAAGGTCCGGCGAGACCGGATATAGTGAATGCAGGGTCCGGGGAGCGCGGATATAGTGAATGCAGGGTCCGGGGAGACCAGATATAGTGAATGCAGGGTCCTGGGAGACCAGATATAGTAAATGCAGGGTCCGGGGAGCACGGATATAGCTAATGCAGGGACCGGGGAGACCAGATATAGTGAATGCAGGGTCCGGGGAGCACGGATATAGTTAATGCAGGGACCGGGGAGACCAGATATAGTGAATACAGGGTCCGGGGAGACCAGATATAGTGAATGCAGAGTCCGGGAAGACCAGATATAGTGAATGGAGGATTCGGGGAGATCAGATATAGTGAATGCTGGGTCCGGTGAGACCAGATATAGTGAATGCAGGGTCCGGGGAGACCAGATATAGTGAATACAGGGTCCGGTGAGACCAGATATATTGAATGCAGGGTCTGGGGAGACCAGATATAGTGAATGCAGGGTCCGGTGAGACCAGATATATTGAATGTAGGGTCCGGGGAGACCAGATATAGTGAATGCAGGGTCTGGGGAGACCAGATATTGTGAATGAAGGGACCGGAGAGACCAGATATAGTGAATGCAGGGTCCGGGGGAGACCAGATATAGTGAATGCAGGGTCCGGGGAGACCGGATATAGTGAATGCAGGGTCCGGGGAGACCGGATATAGTGAATGCAGGGTCCGGGAACACCAGATATAGTAAATGCAGGGTCCCATTCTGTGGGAGGGGCCCAGCAGGAGCTCCCTGAAGAAGACTACAGGAGGGGCAGAGATGAGAGCAGTCAGGCAGCACAAGGAGAGAGAGCAGCAGTGGCCAAGTGTTACACAGATCTGGATAAAATACACAAAGCACATCAAGATTCTATTACTAATACACATGGCTTTTGTCTTTAGACAATATTTGCTTCTCCTGGAGTTCAGATTTACCCCAGGTTCACACTTATGCGGATTTCAGTGCGTTTTCCAGTTTGCAGAAACACACTACAGTCCATTTACCATGATTTCCTGTGGATCTAGTTCACATCTGTGAGTTTTGAGCATTTTGTGCGTCATGTGCGTTTTTTTGAAAGGGTCATTACTTTGATGCTACTTTCATGCTACTTGAGTGCCAGAGAGTGTAAAGTCCCATTAAAGTCGCAGATCAATGCAATTTATACCTCCAATTTCACTGCAGCTTGCAACTTTATTTAAGAAAAGTCAATGTAAGTTGCAGTGAAATCAGAAAAAAGTAGTGCGGGAGCTATTTTTTGAAATCAGGCTACTTCAAGTCGCACTAATTAAGACAGTGCCATAGAAATACATTAGATGCAACTTCAGGTGCGATTTGCAAATTGCATGTCATACCTAAAGTCACACCAGTGTGAACCAGGGCTAAGCGCCCGGTCCCATCAGTACGATTTCAGGTGTGATTTGCAAATTGAAATAGTTGAAAATCTTCATAAGTCGCAATAAAGTCTTCAGAAATCACGCCTGAAATTACACTGAAATCGCACACAAATCGTGCGATTTTAAATCACAGCCGTGTGACCGGTGACTATAAGTTTTTCCTGTAGTAGATTGCATTTTTTTGTGCAATAGACTTCAGTGGAACCACACCAAATATGCAAGTGTTGCGTTTTTGGTGTGGATTTTTTTTTTGCAACATTTATGCAATTTTGGATGGGTGCAACTTTGATGCAAAGCATGAAAGTAGCATCAAGGTTGCATCCGACTCAATACTTTACTATTGGCAAAAAAAGACACAAAATGCGGCAAAAACACGTGTTCAAAAACGCAAAACGCACCAGAAAAACGCATCAATAGCAACATGCAGAGGTGTGAACCTAGCCTAAAACAATACATTACATTTGTATTATATCAGGCAGTGCTACAAACAATATTGGTGGAAGATTTAAGGGAGGTTGTACAATCAGATTGTTAAGAGCATGACTAGCTTAAAGTAAATTTACAACATAGTTACATAGTTAGTCTGGCTGAAAAAAGACAAAAGTCCATCCAGTTCAACCATAAAAAAAAAGTTATAATCCTATACCCACAGTTGATCCAGAAGAAGGCAAGACCCCCCAGCAAAGCATGATCCAATTTGCTCCTGCAGGGGAAAAATTCCTTCCCGATCCGCCCGAGAGGCAATCAGATATTCCCTGGATCAACTTTATCTATAAATGTTATATCCAGTTATATTCTGTGTATCCAAGAAAGAATCCAGGACTTTCCTACAGCAATCCACTGAGCTGGCCAGAACCAACTCTTCAGGGAGTCTATTCCACATTTTCACAGCTCTTACTGTGAAGAAACCTTTCCGTGTTTGGAGATGAAATTTCTTTTCCTCCAGATGTAAAGAGTGCCCCCTTGTCCTCTGTGATGACCTCAGGGTGAATAGCTCTACACCGAGTTCACTATATGAACCACTGATGTATTTATACATAGAGATCATATCCCCCCTTATGTATTATACATGGAGATCATATCCCCCCTTATGTATTATACATGGAGATCATATCCCCCTTATGTATTATACATGGAGATCATATCCCCCCTTATGTATTATTCATGGTGATCATATCCCCCCTTATGTATTATACATGGGGATCATATCCCCCCTTATGTAATATATATGGAGATCATATCCCCCTTATGTATTATACATGGTGATCATATCCCCCCTTATGTATTATACATGAAGATCATATCCCCCCTTATGTAATATATATGGAGATCATATCCCCCTTATGTATTACACACATAGATCATATCCCCCTTATGTATTATATATGGAGATCATACCCCCCTTATGTATTATACATGGAGATAATATCCCCCCTTATGTATTACACATATAGATCATATCCCCCTTATGTATTATACATGGAGATCATATCCCCCCTTATGTATTATACATGAAGATCATATCCCCCTTATGTATTATACATGAAGATAATATCACCCCCCCTATGTATTATACATAGAGATCATATCAACCCCTTTTGTATTATACATGGAGATCATATCCCCCTTATGTATTATACATGGAGATCATATCCCCCCTTATGTATTATATATGGAGATAATATCCCCCTTATGTATTATACATAGAGATCATATCCCCCCTTATGTATTATACATGGAGATCATATCCCCCTTATGTATTATACATGGAGATCATATCCCCCTTATGTATTATACATGGAGATCATATCCCCCTTATGTATTATACATGGTGATCATATCCCCCCCTTATGTATTATACATGGTGATCATATCCCCCTTATGTATTATTCATGGTGATCACATCCCCCCTTATGTAATATACATGGAGATCATACCCCCCTTATGTATTATACATGAAGATCATATCCTCCTTATGTATTATACATGGTGATCATACCCCCCCTTATGTATTATACGTGGAGATCATATCCCCCTTATGTATTATACATGGAGATCATATCCCCCCTTATGTAATATACATGGAGATCATCCCCCCTTATGTATTATACATGGAGATCATATCCCCCTTGTGTATTATACATGGAGATCATATCCCCCCTTATGTATTATACATGGTGATCATATCCCCCCTTATGTATTATACATGGAGATCATATCCCCCCTTATGTATTATACATGGAGATCATATCCCCCTTATGTATTATACATGGAGATCATATCCCCCCTTATGTATTATACATGGAGGTCATATCTCCCTTATGTATTATACATGGAGATCATCCCCCCTTATGTATTATACATGGAGATCATATCCCCCTTGTGTATTATACATGGTGATCATATCCCCCCTTATGTATTATACATGGAGATCATATCCCCCCTTATGTATTATACATGGAGATCATATCCCCCTTATGTATTATACATGGAGATCATATCCCCCCTTATGTATTATACATGGAGATCATATCTCCCTTATGTATTATACATGGAAATCATATCCTCCCTTAATCTCCTCTTCTCAAGAGAGAATAAATTCAGTTCCTCTAATCTTTCCTCATAGCTGAGCTCCTCCATGCCTCTTATCAGTTTGGTTGCCCTTCTCTGTACTTCCTCCAGTTCCCCAATGTTCTTTTTGTGAATTGGTGCCCAAAACTGAACTGTATATTCCAGATGAGGTCTTACTAATGATTTGTACCGGGGGAAATGATATCTCTCTCTGGAGTCTATACCTCTTTTAATACAAGAGAGGATTTTGCTCGCTTTAGAAGCCGCAGCTTGGCATTGCATGCCATTATTAAGCTTGTGATCTACCAGAACTCCTAGATCCTTCTCCACCATTGACCCCCCCAGTTGTACCCCCTTTAGTATGTATGATGCATGCATACAGTGGGGATGGAAAGTTTGGGCACCCCAGCTAAAAATTTGTATTAATGTGCATAAAGAAGCCAAGGAAAGATGGAAAAATCTCCAAAAGGCATCAAATTACAGATTAGACATTCTTATAATATGTCAACAAAAGTTAGATTTTCTTTCCATCATTTACACTTTCAAAATAACAGAAAACAAAAAAATGGCGTCTGCAAAAGTTTGGGCACCTTGCAGAGTTAATATCTTGTACTGCCCCCTTTGGCAAGTATCACAGCTTGTAAACGCTTTTTGTAGCCAGCCAAGAGTCTTTCAATTCTTGTTTGAGGTATCTTTGCCAATTCTTCCTTACAAAAGTCTTCCAGTTCTTTGAGATTTCTGGGCTGTCTGTCACGCACTGCTCTTTTAAGGTCTATCCATAGATTTTCAATTATGTTGAGGTCAGGAAATTGTGAAGGCCATGGAATAAACCTTCAGTTTACACCTCTTGATGTAATCCCCCATGGATTTCGAGGTGTGTTTAGGATCATTATCCATTTGTAGAAGCCATCCTCTCTTTAACTTCAGCTTTTTCACAGATGGCATCAAATTACCATCCAAAATTTGCTGAAATTTTATTGAATCCATTTTTCCTTCTACTCGTGAGATGTTCCATGTGCCACTGGCTGCAACACAACCCCAAAGCATGATTGATCCAACCCCATGCTTAACAGTTGGACAGAGGTTCTTTTCATTAAATTCTGTGCCCCTTCTTCTCCAAACGTACCTTTGCTCATTCCGGCCTAAAAGTTCAATTTTAACCTCATCGGTCCACAGAACTTGTTTCCAAAATGCATCAGGCTTGTCTATATGTTCATTTGCAAAGTTCAAACGATGATTTTTGTGGTGAGGACGTAGAAGAGGTTTTCTTCTGATGACTCTTCCATGAAGACCATATTTGTACAAGTATATCTTTATAGTGGAATAGTGTACCACAACTCCAGTGTCTGCCAGATCTTTCTGGAGGGTTCGTGCAGTCAAACGTGGGTTTTGAATTGTTTTTCTCACAATCCTGCGAGCTGTTCTGTCTGATATTTTTCTTGGTCTTCCAGATGTTGCTTTAACTTCCACTGTTCCTGATGACTGCCATTTCTTAATTACATTCCGAACAGAGGATATTGACATCTGAAAACGCTTTGCTATCTTCTTATAGCCTTCTCCAGCTTTGTGAGCGTCAACTATTTTCAGTTTCAGTTTTCTAGACAACTGCTTAGAAGAACCCATGGTGCTGATTGTTGGGGCAAGGTCAGATGAGTCTGGGCATTTAAAACCTTTGAGATTGACATAACCTGGTCTTCCCAGACGATGATTGAGAACAATCCATGACACTGGCAGGTCTCAGCTTTGCAAAGGGGGCAGTGCATGCTATAAATTCTGCAGGGTGC